GCTATGGCTCCCGCCGCGGCGCCCGTGACGTATTGCCTGCGCCGCCCCTCCCCCACCCGCGCCCCCCGCTGCCCACGTGGCCGCCTCACGCCAGACAGCGGCCCCGGGCTTCCTCCGGGCGCCGTTCGCAATGCCCTCGTCTACTTCCTACCGGAGGCGATCGCATATCCTTCCTTGGCGCCTCCGTTGGTACACGTTTTGTAAACTGGCATCTGCCGTTCGACTGTCCCCGACAATTTTAAATGCGGAGCCTGCATTTCAGCCCACAATGTCAACACTCTGAAATCAAGTGAGCGAATTACTACACACCCATCTACATTCTTCTTAATCTTTTTTATTAGTGATTTTATCTTGAAAGGCTATCTTCTTATTTTTAAATGGTCATTCTCTCTCATTCAAAAGTGTATCATGGCTACAGTAGCCATTTTTCCAGGTTTAATAACATCTGGCTCTCGGATCATTATGAAAAATATTAGGGATGCGCAATGTAAGGAAAGAAGATAGCATATTTCTAGTACCTGTATATGAAGATACTTACAAAACTATTTACAATTTTGAATTTTAGTTTACAATTCACGCTGATACATTCGATATTCAATACATTTGAGGAATTTGCACCGTCTTGCGTGCTTTGTTTGAAGCGTTGGTAGTTCGCAAAATGGCAAAACGGCGACTGGAAATTCTTAGGATTTTTGTGATTGCTGCAGTTCGTGTTAATCATTGGGTGTAGATAGCATTCTTATGAAAATAAATAGTTATAGAGTGTAACTATTTAAAGTAGAACATAAATTACGTTTCTTTTACTTAAAGAAATTTTCATCGCAGATAATAGTCTTCAGAAATTGTTAGCTCACTTCGAAGTAATCAAGGCAAGCTTGTGTGAAATATTATTCTATTCTGTATAATGTGTTGCAAATACTGTACTAATACGTAATTTCTTCAAGTATCTTCTATTTGTAAAGGTTAAAAATAACTTCTGTTACAGACGCGCTTTGCTTGAATTGGTTGAATTTGACTTTTTCATCATGCGACATGCTATTCGTATTTGTCTAAAGTCACAATTTTGATACTCATCACTGTATCAAGATATAATCTTTGAAACTCAGAGAAAATGTTGCGTTTAGTGCGTTTCGTAAAATGTGTACCCCTCAAAACAATCGCAAACGATAACTCAACATTACACTCATAAAAGTGTAGTTAATATTGTCAGACCATCGATCCAACTGGTTTGATTTTTAAAATGTCGAGAAAATTCCCATAAGTTGATTGGCAAAGGCAGGTATACACGCATATTGCAGATACACTATACGATACTTGTTACACACAAATAAGAGAGGACACCTAGTCACAGAAAACGACGTTTGACACCAACAACACTTGTCAAATAGCAAAATGGATCTTTCTCTTCCCCCAATTTGCGATTGTCTTTGCCTTCTGCAAAATTAAAACTTGCGGTGGCAATGTACGGAACCCATTTCGAGGCATTCTAAATCAGAAGTGCTTGTACGTCAGTGTTTGTATTGCACAGAGCATTCCAGAATGGCATAACGTGAATAACAAATTCACGGATATCACGATCCACATGGGAGTAAGTCGCGTTGCACTTGCGAAGATTTGCTGCGCAACACCCTAAGGCTGCTTTACATGATACGCCGGCGTTCCTGCACCGTACGTGCGAGAGGTAATGATGCTCTTACACGTGTTTGGCTAAAAGCACTTCTGAGCTTTGCATTTCACACCAACTGCCTTGTTCTTCTTGAGCAATGAGATTTCTGTCTTGTAGATTACTTAGTAGCGAGTTTCTGTGATTGAGATTCATTTACAACAAAGGACGTTTAACTGAATTCATAATTGGACATAATTATGCTTGTCAGTTTACATGTGAGAGACAGCTTACTTACTATAAAATTAAAAATTTGGAAAGAATGTTTAATAAAATTAACAAGACTAAAATTGAATGGTCGGTTCTTTACGGTAGGTTCGTGCTAGTAAGCGAGCCGTCAGATTTTACTTAGACGTTATACATTTCCCTTCTTTTTAGGGAAATGTAGATCAAAAAACTCCTTCTGCCACAATATGCAAACTGTAAAATTGCGAATGTGGAACATGTGACTTTCAGCATTGTATTATGATGTTGTTGGCATTTTATTTTTCAAATGTTTGAAGTTAATAATTAATACGACGCGTAAAAGACTACCGATATTTTAATATTAATATCTTTTCTTAAGGCTACTGTAGTACACACCTTCCGTAAGCAACCCGCAATACACGCGACACAGCAAACGCTTTCCCAAGCATACAAGATCCACCAGCCGCAAAAACTTAGAAATCGACTAGTGATCTGAACTAAGAGATATCTAAGCCTCTGGTAGGGCACTGTTCATTCAATCGGGGAGGGAGGTTGATTATGTTAACCTATTTTATGGAGGGAAAAAAAGGAGATGAAGATAATGGTAATGATAAAACAGGTTGATTGATTAATTGGCATTTCCGAGCGCGTAAACTGATAAGATCATCAGTCCCGTAAGTGTAGTGTATGTTTTTGTCACGGGCTGTGGCGGTGGTCTTTCCCCGCTAGATGGCGAGATTTGGCACAGACCTACAGTTGGTTGGTGGAGCTTCCCCAAACCAGACATTTTCCCCCACGCGATACCGTTCTCTAAGCTTCCGACATGTGTGCTAGTGTAGCGTATTTAAGTGTGTGTGTGTGTGTGTGTGTGTGTGTGTGTGAACGTGAGTTGACGATAGGACAAGGAAGAGTAAGGAACGAACGCGCGCAGTCCGTGATCCGTGTGTGGTGTTGAATTGAATTGACTTGATACCTTATTTTACGTGGCGAGTCTCGGGGCATCAGGCCCGATCTTCCGTTTGACCACGCAAATTTCACTAAGCTCCTTTCACTAACTAGCGGAGAAAGGAGGTATTTCTTGGCGAAACAGACTATTTTAGCTCAGAGGCGTCATTTAGGATTGAGGATGTTTTACATGCAAGTAAATGTACGAACATGGGACAGCCGGCTTTACTTCCCCTCCGAAGGAAACACGCACGAAGGATTTTTCCCCCTTAAAAATCCACAGTGTTGATCAAGATCGGGTTTGAACCCGCCAACTTCGTCACAACAGTCCGATACCGCCGCCGCCGCCGGTGTTGTCCAAAGAAATCACAGGAAAGCTATCAGAGCAGCCGGCCGATAGAATTCTCCTCCAGACAGCGACTGAAGTCTACCTAGCTATGTAGCTATTGTCGAAAATCCTACGACCGTTGGGACTCAAACCCTAGTCCTCCTTGACAAGAGATACTGCAACGACATAAATTGATGCCCTGAGCCAGCTCATCTGGTGCTTTTGCAAGAAGCACTGGAACTCACATCAGTAAACAGCAAATGAAAAAGCAGTCAGTGAACTCAACAGATATCTAGGGTTACGGAAAGGCACTATGCATGGAATCAGGGAGGAGTACGGCTATTTTAACCCATTTTATGAACGAAGAAATTAACTTCATAGTTTCAGTGATGAAGAAGACAATGACAGTCATAGAAACAAGCTTCCTTACTGTCCTTACATTCCCTCAAAGTACACGCTAGTTTTCTTTCATTAATTTCTCCCACAAATTCACAGAGAGAACGTTAAGCGAAGGACGCAGCCAAAATGAGAAGAAAACCCAGTGACCCTTTTCGCTTACGACGCGAAGGCGGATATTCGCGCCCTCCGCAGCGCGTTAACTCAGCGGCAAAGTCTCCGCGCGCGTTCCGGCGGCGCGAAGGGTTAAGCAGCGCAAAGGCGTTAAGGCAATTCTGCCCGAAAGAACGCGCGCCGCTCTCCCCGCGAATAAAACAATTAGCATGCGAAGGCTATTAGGCGCGGCCTTTGCGGGTAATGCGACATCTTCCGCGCGGACGAACGCGAAGCGGCGCGCTGCGGCGCCGCACTAAACGTGCGAGATTCGTTGACGTCTCGCACCGGCTGAGGTGGCTCATGGCATCACGTGATGTCAGTAAAGTGCCTCTGATCGGAAGCTCCTAGGGTTTCTCTCCTGACGGTGCCAGGACTTTCCACACTAGCTACTTAGTTTGGTCGAATCCAGCCCTTGTCTGGAGAAGAATTCTAGCGGTCGGCTGCTCTGATCGGGAGTTTTCCGTAGTGAGGTCTTGGCTGTCCGGGTGACGCCGCGTAGTTGGCAGAGAGGCCGACGTTTCGCCTGTCATATCGCAGGCTTCCTCAGGGCAGTGAAGAACTAAACGTCACTACCGTGAAGAAGCCTGCGATGTGACAGGCGAAACGCCGGCCTTCCAGCCAACGGCGCAGCGTTACCCGAACTGCCAAGAAGGCATGAACTCGACCCGCGGAAGCTTGCGTGTACAGTTTTCCGTAGTTTCTCCGATCAACACCAACTAGACGAATGCCGGAGTAGTACCCTAACAAACGGGACACGCACCCGGCGCCTTCCTCTTCCTTGTCTCCCCACATACACACTTTTACACTACACTGTCATTCATGCTAGGAGACCAGTCGGGTTATTAGAGCTTGCCCCGGCTGGGACGGTTCCCTGCTGTTGGGGGGAGAGACCCGACAGGGGAAAACCCCGCAAGCTGACGTGTAGGTCGGCTACGGTTTCGAGCATCCAGCGAGAGACGACCGTCCAGTCCCGTGTTAGAAAACATGCACGAGACTAATGACCCTAGTAGCTGACGTGCCTGGAAA